GAGGAAAGGAAGAAGGACCCATACACATGGTAAACTTGAGACAACACATCAGTTAAGATGGCCTGATGGAGCAGATCTTATTTGTTTGCCATAAAGTTATTGCTATTTACCAACCTTTTCCTATGCTAGGCCTAGAGCGTGGTTTGAGGTGTACAGTAATTGCAGTTTGTACTGACGTGCTGTAGATGCTCTTAACTTAGCTCATTCGGGTGTCAGTAGCAGTAAAGCACTCCCCCATGAGACTTGGGTAGCCCATTCCAGTCCTGACTATTGGTACCCAAGCAAACAAGACTAAGGCCAGCTCAGGTTTGTCTGCCTGTACTGCAAACACAGTGACCCAAATGGCAGTTGGTCACCAGTTGCAATTTTACCCTTTCCTGAATCTTTTTTTAAAATGCAGTATCTATAGAAAGGTATACACCCAGGGGACAAACAACGCCCATCTAAATACAGGGCTTCCAACATTTTAAGGAGTTATTGACAAATATCAAGCAAGCAGAAAAAGTCAGGAATGGGGGGAGTGGAGAAGGGAACCCTCTTCCTTTCTTATTTTGCTTCTATATAGTACTTCACTTTGTGCAAACTGTTCAATTCCCAAATGGGAATTTGGGCTCTGACAAGGAGACTTTTAGAAGGAGCTCAGAAAACTTGGCCTATGCAGGGCTGCGAACATGACACTGTACTAACACAGCAGCATAATCAAAGCCTTTTAATAATTTAATATAATAAATGTCATAAAGAGTGAATAATTCCCTATAACTCTAAGCAGGCAGGAGGTGCCAGAAAGAGCAGAGCGAGTGAGTTAAGTTCCTTTTAGTAATAGCTCTTTGACTTTCACATGGTAAATTTAAACCAGATGATGGACTCTGGGTGGTCGCTACTACATTCAGAATGGGGAATAGTGTTTGAAAGCACATTACTGAAACAATTTAGTGCAAATATTTAGCCTGCAATGGCTGTAGAGAAGGGAGAGGGGACAAACCTCACTTTTCTAAGTAGTCTTTGTAGCTGGTTCTTGCACTGGATCTTGAAACTGCACCACCGAAGAAAATCTGCTGCTCCGTATCTGCTGTATACTTGCTTTATCAGTCCCAAGCAGTGTATGTAAAAATGTGCAGGCAAGTATTCCAGGCCCACTTTAATAAGCCTTATATAACACCCCGTGCACCCATGGGCCATGTGAGTCCTAAATAACAATAGTGCTTGCAGTAATATCATGATTTCACATTAATACATAAGTCCAAAATGACACCATATGGAAACCTATGCAGCAGGGTTCACCCTTCTGTGATGTCAAGCTCAGCATGTCTTAATCCAAAAACTAAGCACCCCTTCCTGGCACTGCCTCTGAACTATCACCTCATCTATTCCCTTTTCTATAGCCAACCTCATTAATTTTCCCGTTAGCTGTTTTCATTGGATGGATAACTGTCCTGGCTCAGCCTTCCTCTCCTGGTTCCACCTGCTCTTGGCATTTCAGGGATTCTCCCACAGCAGAATCTGGCTGTACTAAAGGTGTATGGGCCTTGCCTGGGTCCCTTAGCCAGCACCAGTACAGATCCACTTTCATGGCTGAGGGGGATCTCTAGCTATCTTGTAAATCAAGAGCAATTTGATCCCTGTTCAGGTGAATGAGAAATGCGTAAATGGAACACAACAGTCCCAGAGAGTGCGGGTGACTGATGGGAGCTTTGCCACTTCTACTACCTCAGTGCTCAGTCAGAGAAAGAGTAAAAAGGGTGAAACAGAAATCAAAGCAGGATATTTTTCCCACTGCTTTATGCTGCACAAACCCAACCTTTGTCTCTGAATCAGCTCCTTCAGTTTAGATCAAGATAGCTTCATGAAACAGTAAGCCCCTTTGTTGCTGTTTCTTCAGCATTTGACTCCCTGTCCAGACAATCCTTTTTGACCTTAATCAAGGAGGAATGCATAACCCTGAAGTTTGTTTCTGATCAAAGCCTACTAGGCAGATGGAAACCCACACAAAGCAAAAACTTGGAGAACTTCAATGCTGATGGCCAAATGCCAGAGTAGGCTGAACCTATGAGCAGGGTCTTTCATTGAACCATGTGCATCACCACAACCGAGCCTTGAACTGGAGTCTTCAAATGCACTCACAATGTCACACTCCCCATGTGCAAGGACATGTTGAGGCCCAGCAAAGCAATCAAAGCTTTTGAGCCAGATTATCTACTGCCATGCCCCTAATGTCACAATTTTCACCAGTGTGAAGTAAAGGTAAAACACTAGCTGCTAGCTATGAACAGCAATGATGTGCACCCACTTTTCACTTGTACACAATTGTGTAAACAAATATGTAAAGATAAGGTACTGAGGCACCAATTCCTGGGTGTGCAGTTCATTTCAGGCTGTTTCCTGACCAAAAAGCAAGGATAGACGTATATGCAAGTGAAGATGTTCCTTTTGGACAACTCCTTTTTCCATTATTACCTGTAACCCTATGACTCAGATTGGATAGCAATGCTATGTCAAGATGCTCAAGAACTTTTATACTGAATGTCCTTGTCCATGCAAGCTTATAAACAGCCAAGCAGCTATCAATGGTTAAATTAAGCCATTTGACAGATGGAAGCAAGCACTGCTGCTATGGTGGAGCAACTGATCAGTATCCAGGGAAAGCTGATAAAGTGGCAAACAAGATTCTTTGGGTAAATATGGTATCTTTTATTAGACCAACTCCAATATCTGGAAAAATTCTTCTTTGCAAGCTTTCAGGTATAAATACCCTTAGTCAGGCTGAGGAAGCATCTGCAGTTGGTGTCCACGTATCTATTTCATCAGTAGAAACAACACATCTGCCAATTCAAGCTCTGCAGTCCTGATTGGGATCGCCAACTGAAAACCTGTACTTCCCAGATAACATTAGCAGCTGCCTTGTATCAGCTAAAAGAGGGTCATATTATTAGCTGGTAGGTAGGTCCCTCTGCTGCTGCTTCATTGACTTCAGTAGAACTATGCTGATTCACACCAGTTGAAGAGCTGAGTGACACATCTTGGACAATATATGTGATCATTCACTGGGAACAGGAGACCTAGAGACCACTACAAATCAAAGGTGAAAAAGACTGTAGAGTACAAAAATGCAAAATTATTGTGGTGCAGACCTCAGATAAAGAGGACTCCAGGTTGTCTCTGACTTATAGCATCAGCACTGTAGCATGAGATAATAAATCTATGAATCTTGGTATGAATGGCTGCATGTCTGATCCCTACTGTAATGTTGCTACTGAAAGCTGTAAGGATCAATGCCCTTTTCCAATAGGTTTGTGTTGTACCAAAAAGTGCAGGATTGGCAGGTGAAGTGTCTGAAAAGGTTTTCATATGGAAACCGTCTCATGTTTTTAGAGGCAGTTTTTCCCCCTTTTTCACAGCCATGAAACTTGGGCGTTTGAGCTGTGAGAAGCTCTTTGCACCAGAGAGCCACTGGAAGATATACTGCAAAACACAGGTTTTAAGTAACCACAGCTGGCATGTTCAACTCTCTTGTATGAAGCAGCCATTTGGCTGGGTGTGACATCATATATGACCCCAGCAGCAGTGGGAGAACCCAGAGTAAGACACTGGGAGACTGTTTCCATCCAGTTTTCATATGAGTTCTTCATCTATGAGAAACTAAAGATGCTCAGTATTTGTCCTTCTTGTGCATCTGAAAACTCTCCATTTGTGTCTATCAGGTTGTATGTAGGAACATAGCATGGGTATTTATCTACACAACCCTGTATTTGGAGTATGCCCAAGTATTTTCATTTTCCTACAAAATACATAAGGAAGTCACAGCCTTTTCATATGTAGCTCTCGGGGAATGGGCAGGATCTCCATTGACTTTCTTCCTGACGTCTGCTGGAGAATGTTTTCCCCAAGCAGGAGTACGAGGAGGATCCTACCCAGACAGCTCCTGTTCCCATCCTCTCCAGTATTTCCTGTCATGTAGTGAGTGGCTCATGGGCCTATTCAATCCCAAGCCTTCTGTTCCCACTTGTCAGGTTTTGATGGATCAAATGGGCCATTTTCTCAGGCTGGGGCTGGTGCTGTGCTCAACAGAGTTTTACCTCTTGTGAAGATGAGACAGTAGCTCAAGACATCTCCACTGTGCCCATAAGCCACTTAGCTGTGTAACTTTTCTCTGGCTGGAGCCTCTTCTAAAATAAATGGCCTATGTTTGGTTCAGGTTATAGTTGAGCACAGTGTGAGGCTGTGAGATTTACATCAGGCATAAACCTACCATGTTAGCAGTCTGTGGGCCAGGTGTGCAGCTAGTGTGAATTTACTGCAGGGGCGGGCAATTATTTTGGGCAGAGGGCCGCTTACTGAGTTTTGGCAAGCCGTCAAGAGCCGCATGACAGGCAGCCCAGGGCAGATAAATATTAATTTTCTAAATTTTTTAGGGGCCCCACGGGCCACATAGAATGGCCTGGTGGGCCACATCTGACCCCCAGGCCGCATTTTGCCCACCCCAATCTACTGGAATCAACAGAACCACCTTTCCTTTCACCAGATAAGGATTTGATCCTCTCCTCTTAGGTCACAATGGGGGTATTTCCAACCAGCAATCACTGACAGAAACAAAATACCCACTCCTGCTTCCAAGAATAACATCTCCCCAATCATGCTCATTATTCACTACCATAAATATTCACAATGAACCAGGGAGAGAGGGGAAAATAAATACAACATAAGAAGGGTGCATTCAAATGAAAGGAAATGGCAGAATGCATTCCATGACAGGCAGCTCCAGTGTAGTGTAACCAAGAGTATAATGATGATGGTCAATGACAACGAGAAATAAATCATTAAAGATAAAATAGGCCATTCTTGACTAAGTAGCACCAGGCCGAACGTGTGTAAAATGCCACCCTTCTGACAGGGTAACATTTTAATTCCCTTTGCACAGGGGCATATGACAGGTCCAGGTCCAGATCCAGCACATCAGAAAATCTGGCACTGGCATTTTCAAGTACCCAAATGTAAGAAAAGAAATGAATGAATTGTAAGTCAGGCAGCCGCTGCCTGCATAAATACAGGGCAGAGAGGAGGAACTGAAAGTCCTAGGAAGAGAGGAAGAACGGCAAGTACTTTCCTAAGTACTGGGAACGAGTGTCGGTAAACTGTGAGAGTCTCTCTTCTGAAGGCCAGGGAAAGCAGCTGTTAAATTAACCAAATGATATTTAATTGTGGGGTCTGTCCTACAACAACTTTGCATGGGTCTGATTCCCAGTGCTTCTTAATGAGAGAGCTGACTTCTTCATGTACTGCTGTGCTTTATTAAATGGGGCCCCTGCTGGGAGTGAGAAGTCTTACTGAAAGGGCAGCTCCCCATCAAAGACACTAACCTATTTGCTGGTAGAAGCACTGACAGAGTGAAGGAGTTGTCTCAAAACTGCTGGTAAAATGTCTGTTGTTAGTATGTACGATATCATACAGTGCAGTGAACAGACCAGGTTTCATAATGCTGGGCAGAGACGGGCATGACTATGACCTATGTATAACAGGTTGTATTATCAAGGTGACATGTTAGCCAGAGCACAGCATGCCCACCAGAGTGCAGGTGGGTGGAGAATAGGAGGGCATTACATGCAGACGTGCTCATTGTCTTCGCTTTCTAGAGTGGTTCCAAGGTAGGACTTGGTTGTAGTCAGCAGCAAAGCTGTGTGTCCCAGTGGCTATGATATGACTCAGGACTGTCTTTTAGATCCATTCCAGACCAAAATCACCTGCTTCGAGATGGAGTGCGCAGATACCTGCAACTTCCAGCTGACCAGACTGTGCTGATATTGCATGCAAAAGTTGCACAGAAATCATATGGCAATGAAAAAAGGTAGGCCATTTATCTAACTCCCAAGGCCCTGCATACCCTTCTTTATAACATCTCTATAAAGTCCCTCTAAAAACAGCCACTTCGAATTCCCTTTCAAACTTCCTTGAGTTTCCATTAAGAGAAAGCAGATAAAGTAATATAACTCCATTGTTATATCCCATTCTGTATACCTGTTAGTCTTCATGGATCCAATATTAATAATGGAAAAAAGAGAAGATCTCCAAACAACCAATCAGAATAGAGTTAAAAAGAACACAGAGAGAAAAGGCTAAAATAGGCTCAGTTATCTTAGTGCCCTGGAGACCCTACCAAGGACTTAGATGGGTCACCTGAATGACTTGGACATTTCTGTTAGTGTCCAGAGTCTCCAAAAGGCTGTTATTTGAAAGCATCTTCATACTGCAACAACACCTTGGCCCTTCATCCGTAGCTCAAGATGAAAGATTGACAACTCATCAACACCAGACTATTGTTGTTGTTGTTTACATTGATGAATTACTCTAAATAATTATATTGACTGGAGATTAAAAAAGGCTGAGGGGAATCTGATAACAGTTTTCAAATACATAAAGAGTGACTATAAAGAGGATGGTGATAGACTATTTTATGTGTCTGCCAGGGACGAGACAAGGAGTAACGGTCTTAAATTGCAATGTAGGAAATTTGGGTTGGGTATTAGGAAGAACTTTCTTATGATAAAGGTGATTATTGGAACAGATGAGGGTAGATATTGGAGGTTATTGGAACAGATGGCCTAGAGAGATTGTGGAGTCTCTAGCCTTCTAAATTTTTAAGAGCAGGTTAGACAGATACTTGAATAGTTTCAAGAAGGGTGATCCTTCCTGGAGCAGGAGGTTGGATTCGATGGTCTCCTGAATGCTGTGTCATAAATGGTTGGAGGATCTGTGGGACTCCAGTGGCCACTTCAGTCTCCCCCCATACCACTAGTCAGAGCGCCACCTGCAAGTGGGCTCTTCTCACTCCACTTAACAGTGGAAGACCTTCTTTCCTCTTTGCTATCCTCTCCTACTCTCTGCCTTTTTCTATCATTCATTTCCCTCCCTTACAGTCATTTCTCTCCCTCTGTTATGCTGTGAGTGACCCAAACTGAGGCTGGGGTGTAGCTTTCCTTGACTCCCTTCTTTTCTCTGTCACAGGAAATAATATTCAGAGAGGTGGGATGAGGCTGTAGAGTTTGGATACACACTCAGTCCCAAACTTATCTGAAGGACAAGCTGGGAATTGTTCATGTTATGCATGACAGAGAAGGGAGACAGCTCTGAAAGGCAGATGGAGACCCAGCCTCTCCTGGAGTTCAGAGGAGTGTGGGTCTGCAGTTTTGGTTTAGGACCATCTCTAATAGCCATGGGATTGTGATCCTCTGGAGATGCTGTGCCAGTGAGGGAAGTTGCTGCGTCACTGAGGCTAACCAAAAATACACCCCTGGCACCCCCCTGCTTCAGATATTGTGCAAAGGATGCTGGGAAGCAGGTTTTAGTGGGTTTGGCAGGAAAGAGGGAAGCAAAACCTTAAAAACAAGCTGGTCCAGAGCTTCTGGGTTAAAGTTTAAATGGGCTAATGCTATTTTTCCTGGTTAAGGGGATTCAGCATTCTGCACTGTAGCTAGCTTATTTAAATAAATACAGATCCAAGGACTCTAAGGCCCCAAAATCTCAAACCACACCATATTGGTGTTTTCATTCCTAACATTTTATATAGTATCAATATGAGATGAATCTGTACCATTCACATGGATGTAAAGACAGTGGAAACCCAAATAAAACACAGGAAAATGTGTTTCCAAAACTTTGGGTATAGATTTATTTGCATTAGTCTCATAATCTGGCTATGAATACAAACTCTGTTCTCAACCTGCTGAAACGCCCACATTCCAAAGTCACCATGACAAATTCTCCCTTGATTTAGGGGGGGAAAAACGCAAGGCTTCTTTCCTTGCATTCCCCTCAGCCATCTTCCAGGGAGCAGGGTTAGTGTGTTCAGCTAAACAGAAGATCTGATAGATGTGGCTGCTGCTAGCAAATGCCTTGGGCAGAGTTGTCTGGATGCTGTGGCTGGAGGTGCTGGGGAGGGCACTGAAAGTAGCTGGTTTGTAGTGCCTGGTGGAGATGTTAAAAGAGCTGCCTCAGCACAGCTAACTCTGCTAATAAGGATGGTAAGGATGCTGGAACAGCTTCTGTCTTCTCCTTTTCCTCCTCTCTTTCTTTAAGTGAATAGGTTAGGGCAATGCTCTGGATTTTCTAAATCCACTTTTCTAAAGCAGTGAATGTGCATCCTCACTCACCAATGAGCACAGCCCCTTATTTAAATGTCCAAGTCAGTTAACAAAGGTGCTGCTTTGTCTCATCAGGTTTTTCTGCCCCCCACCTTGCGTTTACCTGACTGGACCAGGATGGAAACTAAAACAGGAACAAGTGAAAGGTAAGAGCAGGACTCTTGCTGCTCCTCTGTTCCCAATGAGCAGAACTCAGGACAGAGTGGGGAAAGTTGGTGTCAAGTACTCATTCCACCATGATGGCAACTCCCATATTTTGGGGCCCATTCACATGTGGGTGCCCAGGCGCTAACAGTGCAAAACAGCTGCATGTTTAGTTCAAACACTCAAACAGACCAAAAGGAGATGGTCAATATAACACTTCAGCTCTTCCAGCATGCTCCCAGAAAAAGGCAGAGTTTGGGGGATTAGCAGTATTTTAGGAAGAGGCAGAAACACAGTACTGAGTTTGTAGGAAGAAGCAGCCCATACTTCAACCCATTCTACAGTCTCCAAATTTGTTGCCACAGCAGGCTCAGAAAAGTGGTCATGCAAAATCTGGCTTTGCTGAAAGGGGTCTGCATACAGTGCCACATCAGGACAGCTGTGTCAGACTGAGGAAATGTGACACACTCCCTTCTGATACATGAAGAAGTCAAATCATTGCTACTGTCTTCCCACTGGTTATGAACACTGTATGACAAGTACTGAATAATGACAGTATAATTAGCATCTGCAGGGCAGAAATGCCATAGAGCCTGGGAAATGTTGCACTTGGTTGCCAGTAGAACGGGGTGGCATTCTCAGTGCTAGAAAGACAAAAGAATGAGTTTGCTTCCCCAGATTCTTGGCAAAGCAAAGCATTTCTCCCATGCAGACCTCTCCCTGGGGGTGGCAGCACCTATTTTGTTATTGACACCCAGCACCCCAGAGGTTACAAGGTACCATGCAGATGTATAAATAAATAACACAGTCAAATTTTTGCATCAGTGAAGGCCAGGGGAGTTTTGCCAACGACTTCAAAAGAGCCAGAATTTCAGCTATAATCCCTTCTCCAGAGACCACATGAACTGAACTACTGTCAAACACACAAGTGACAGCAGCAAGTTAATTTGGGCTGGCAGGAGGGAAGGACAATGGTTGCAGAGGTGTTTTCAGGTGGGCATTTTAGATTGTGACATTAACAGCTTGGCAGATCCCCAGTGTGGTTTTCAAAGGCTCAGGGCATCTCTCTCCTGTCCCTGCAGAGTATTGTGTATACGTGTGGGCAGCATATGCACATATGATAGTAACACTGTAAAACCAGGGGCCGTTGGAATGTGTCTAGTGACAGGAGTGTGGGATAGACATGGGAGAGAATATACAAAGACAAAAGAGGTTGGGAATATGCAGAGGCAGAGGCCTGGGTGAAGGAGGATCAGGAATGCTAGAGGTTTGAGGAAAAGAAGGGGGTTGGAGTAGAAGAACAAGAGAGAGGAGAGTAGTCCTGGCATATCCAGTTTTCTCATAAGAGAATGTTTCTCCTTCTCATTTCCAGCGAGTAATCTTGGAGAGGCTGGTTTCAGGGTGTGTGGATACATGGGACTCGACAGTGTGGGCAGCAGCCATTTGGAGACCCAGAAACTGAACTTTGAGGAACAGCCTGACTCCAAGGTAAGTAAAGCCCTGTGCCATGAACAGCTCCTCCCTACTGCATGCATGCTCTCACAACTCCTCCAGGGCATGCGTGGTTTACCTATAAGCCATTTTCCAAAAGAGAATGGGACACTGTAGCAGTCACTTTGGGAAAGCATCACTTCCCAAGCCTCTCTGCTTTAGGGCTGGAGCACTGCACAGACCATTCATATAGAGCAGCCAGGACTTCATGCCACTTTCAGCTCTGAGTGCTCATAGGGGTGTAGGGTCAGGCAGCTCCTGTCTCCACTGGCTTCTTTTCAGAGCAAGAGTTGTGCTCTAGGGGAGGGAGGTGCCCATGCTGTGGAAAGTGGGGTGCTAAGGACCTGCAGCTTTGGAGGAAAGGGGCCTTTTGCCCAAATGCCCTATTCTGTCCCAGGAAAGCAGTGTGCAGTGGATATTAATTTAAGGCCCAACCATAGATCAGAACTTCATTGTACCGGGCTTTGTCCAAGCACAGAACAAAAAGGCAGCTTCTGTCCCAAAGATCTTGCAATCTGGCAGCAAGCAGAGCCATCCTGGCTGGCTGGGTATCTGCTACAGTATATGGGAAGAAGCTGCTAGCCATTACTTGTGCAAAAGAGTGTTTTTTTCCAGTAGAGATCAGCTCACATTTGTGCCCAGCTGCTCAGGCAGAAGAAGGCAACTTTCAGGCCACAGCAGCTCAGGTAATGCATCCTGGCTTGGAGGTGAGCGGCTGTTCCAGTGCCTGCTGCCTGGGTTAGGTGGAACAGACTGCCAGCTGAGACCAGTGCAGCCAAGCTATTCCTTGGCTCATCTACCTAGCATCTAACAGACTGTAAAAGTCTTCCCTGTCTTACCTGAGCACTTGATTAGTCCTGCTCTAATATCCTGTTATCAACTGGCAGATGCAGGTGACACACGTCTTGTCTAGGCAAGGTGGCAATGAGTAGATCTGATTACAAAACCTAAGCCTTACAGTACTCTCCTGCTGGTGGGATGAGCAGGCATTTCATTACTTGCAGAGTATTTTACTACCTGCCCAGGGGTTAGAGAATCAGACCAACCTCCTAAGCCGACCCAGGACGAAACCTACTGCTTACAGATTAGTAGAGTAGCAGCAGAATTCAAGTGTCCCTATGGTTCTGCCTCCCTTTCCTGCAGGCAACACTCACCTGTGCTTCTCTTGAGACTTCTAGCCTGATGGGACAGCTCTAGTTTTCTGGACAATGTAGGAGTTGTTTGGATGTTTGGATGCTTGCTGCAGCCTTAAGGAAGTTCAGCTTTGTAAAGTCTCTTGGTTCTCTCCCATTTTCCTCTTGATGTTGCTTTTTTCCCTCCTTATAAATCAATCTCCTTCTCTCTCACTCTGCCATCATCCTGTGGCACATGTGGCAGCCAGAAATGTCAGACAGGCTCTCATGGCTTGCAAAGAAACCTATCTTTCTTCATTGCTGACTCTTTGGTTCCCCAGTCCCTGTGGCTGGCAGTGTGCCAGGGATTACACAGCTTTCCCAGCCCATGGTAGTCTCCTGATGAACAGCAATGCAACACATCACAAAATAAAAGTGTGTTTCAATTACAGATAAACAGCTAAAGAAAACACCAGCTTGTCCCAAACTTCAAGAGCTGGAGCCATAACTTGGCATGTCCTTATAGGGAAAAATATAAAGCATTATCTTAGGTCTCCAAAGAATGTGGGATCTGAGGTGGGCCAGAAACATTACAAAAAGGACCTTTGTGTTTGCAATGCCTTTCGTTACAGCTAGAGCAAGGCATATCAGTACAGAAAGAACGCCAAGATGCCTGGGAAACTGTAAACCTAGGGAGAATTCCCATGTTATGTTGGGTAAATCACATGTGAACATTCATTTCCATTTGGAATTCTCTTACCCCTATGTCAACAAAGCCTCTGCCATTCCTGAGCTCTTCGTTCCACCTGTAATAACATCGCCAATCATTTGCCCTTTTAAATGAACCTATAGTGCCTTTGAATAGACATCATTATGTCCGAGTGGGAGAGGCTTTATCTGGCCACACATTTCCTTAGGTGGACATAGCAGGCACTGCTATGTGGCACTGATGCCTGGTGATGGAAGACTTGTCTCCTGGGATTGTGTTTAGATTCATTGTAAATGCACACTGAACAGAGGACTGTGGACAGTTCTTTCTGAAAATCCAAAGCACACCAGGAAAGACAAGAAAGAACTGTCATCTAGTGCCTGGAGCCCCCAGAGAGCTTCCCAGCACTACAGCCACATGAAGGGGTCCCTCACTGGGTCAAAATGCTTTAAAGTGAGAGTATGATTTAAACTACACTTTCTTGGGCAGGCACAGGCCTTATTATGTCTTTACATAGGATATGTATCTATGTATGTATATGTATATATGTATACACAGCACAGGATATGTATACATGGTCCTGTAACTCTACCGGGGCCTTTGGATAAGTAAAAATTGCACTGGTGATTTAGTGGTTCTGTTATGCTCCCACTGAGAAGACTCTGGTGTGGGCTGCTTTGCTGCATAAATTGCTTGCCTGACCCTATGCCTTTGTATTTTGTCAGAAATGAAAGGGAGTCTTGTGGTCATTTTCCTTCTCTTCATAATACTGCAGTTTGTAATCAGGGCTTCCTTGTGCTGGGTACTTTTCATGCACATTGGAAGATCCAAGTTTTGTCCCAAAGAACTTACCACCTAAGGCTTCACTCCTACAATTTTCATATGCTCAACCTTGCAGTTAATCCAGCAGGAGTAATTCATGTATGTAAGGTTCAGCATATTCACGCATGTTTATAGGACTCGGCTTATTCTAAAAGTCTCTGACAAATGGATAGACAGAGAGTTAGATAGATGGGAGGGGAGAATACACACACACACACACTGGCCATGTCTACACAAGCGGTGGACTATGTGAGCAGCAGACATAAGCTAGTACTAAATGACTGTGCAGTACCCGCCATTGCTGCATAGTACTGTCGCCACATGGTTTTTTTCTGATGATACTGCACAGTAGCAATGAGCTACCGCACAGTAGCTCATTACTACTGCACAGTAGTATCATGTCACAGTTAGTGCCTGGCAATGCAACTGCGCAGTAGCATCTCATGTAGATGTGCTTACTGACTGTTTTCAGTCTTTCTCTACGCAGTGTGCCTTTAAACACCCACAAAAGTATTTAAAACATAGCCCGTTCCATTGTAGTGCACTTCTGTTTCAGTGTGAAGTTTCACAGGGAAGTGGATTTGCTGGTTTTCATGTGACATTTTATGGAAGCAAGAAAACCTTGAACCTGTCACCAGGCTAATATTTCAAGGCAAAGTGGAACACTCCAGGAAGCAAAATAGTTTGGAGTGAAACAGTGACAACTTTTGTACAATTCTGCAGGTTTTTGTGTGTTTGCTTGTTTCATCGCTTCAAAGTTCCTCCACTTAAAACATGACCAGCTAATTTGACACAATTCCTTATGATAGAAAGGCGGCTAGATCCACAGCTCCTGCCTGTGAAGGGCCGTAGATTCCCTAATCTAAATATGGTAAGCTCCCTCCTGAGAAGATTGGGTCTTATTTGTCCAAAAAGTGCCCTGTCCATCAGTAAACCATTTGCAGCACAGACTGTAAGCATTTAGGGAAGGGACTGTGTTTGCTCTGTTTGGACAGCACCTAGTTTAGTGAGACTCAGTCCCTGAGTGACACTCCTACCCGGTGCTACTGTAATATGAATAATAATGATTACTAATGTTAAAAGCTGTGCCCACCACTGCAATGCCTAGGAACCTCAAGGTCTCCATAACCACAATAAGTTCCCTAACCATGCCTAACAGTCAGTGTCAGTCTCTGCTCAGTCAGGCCCCTTGCCCCAGTCCAGTAGGAATTTTAGGAAAATAGTATGAGAGTCACATGAGTAAAAAATATGAGTTTAAGGGGATCTGCTATGCTAAACCAGCATCTAATCAGTGCTATTGGCCAGGCTGTCACCTCCCCAGCAAATAAAATCCACCAGCCACAGCTAAAGAAATCTGCAGTTGAAAGGGCTGCTACTAATTCAGCTAGGTAACTGAGCTTCATGTTGACATGTCTTTAGTGACATTAGGCCAAAGGCTCCAAATGCAGCCTCTGCTGTCTAGCAATAGCCCTTTGCTATTCACAGGAGTTCAGCTGTGCCAAGGCACTCTACATCTCAGATGCTGACAAGCGGAAACACTTCCGGCTGGTTCTGAAGCTTTTCTTCAGCAATGGGCAAGAGATCGGCACTTTCCACAGCAAGCTGATCAAAGTGATCTCCAAGCCCTCTCAAAAGAAGCAGTCTCTGAAGAACACAGATTGTAAGTAGCTGGGCAGGCAGACTCAGCCATGGGAGCTAATGGGTGAAGGGCTGAGAATAGTGGTTTTCTTGTTACTTCCCATGTTGTGCTGTTGCAGGAGCAAGTCCTATTGCAGCTTGCTGATTAGCTGGGTAGCTAATCCCTGAACACTGGTTTCAGGTGCTGTAGGAAAATCAGATCCTGGTGTAAAGGAACCCAGACACCATCACATGATTTCTTCACAGTGTTTCTACTGCTAGGAAAGTCAGCTATGCAATACAGGCCTTTCCAAAGCCAATGGAAGGAAGAATGGATTGGGGTGTATTTCTATTGAATGTATCAAGCTCTGGCAATCTTTCTGTTCAGCGTTCTGTACACACAGGTTGGCCACCCATTACAAAAGCCCAACATGAAAAATGCATGGAGGGTAAGCAAATATCACTTAGGGTAAGAAAAAGTGACCACTTCATAGAGTAGGTAGCTAGTCTGGTCTCAAAGCAATTACAACATTTCAGCAGAGAAGGGAAAAGACAGCTACTTACCTTACAGTCCACGAGGTTCTTCAAGATGTTCTTGCCCTCATGGGTCCCACTCATGCATGCTCACCATGACTCCTGACAGAACCAGATGTTTAACCAGATGATTTGCTAGTGCATATTTCATCCCTAGTCTCCAACCAGACAGTAGCATTCCAGGGGAAAGGAAGGACACATTGCATGCAGAGCAGTCACTGGCATATGCACTATGCAGCTATCAATTACCTCAGCCATATTCTGGCATTTGGACAAAATCCCTCCAGAGCCGATGCTGGTTCAAGTGCATTTAATGCTGCAGCACTAATGCTATAGTCTTTCTGTCTGTCTGTCTGTCTGTCTGTTGTTCTGCAGTGTGCATCTCATCTGGGTCTAAGGTTTCCCTCTTTAACCGCCTGCGCTCCCAGACAGTCAGCACCCGCTACCTGTCTGTAGAAGGCGGCGCTTTCATCGCCAGTGCAAGGCAGTGGGCAGCATTTACACTCCACCTGGGTGAGCAAGTTGATGTGTTCTGCAGAGCACATGGGGGGCCACATGCATGGTGGTGTAAAGGGATGCACATCAGCAGAGCCACTGGAACTGTAGCCTTTAATGGCAGGGATGGATCTGGCCAACCAAGCACCTGGATAATGAACTGAACTGATATTCAGTGTCACAATCACAGGTCACTAAGTGCCCTTTTTCCTAAATCCCATGAATCTCTGAGGCCAGCTTCCAGCAGGCCCTCAGGGCCTCTACAGGCCATTGTGCTCCCTTCCCTGCAAACTGAGTTCTGTTGGGTATAGGATAGTTCATCACTCGGGATGTTAGTCTGCAAGACTTGGGCTCATTGTTTTGCTCCTTCTCAGATTATCTGTGAAAGCCTGGGCAAGTCATTTAGCCTCTCTGCACCTTAGTGCTATAAAATGGCTATATTGGCATTGCCCTGACTCCCATGGGGGAGGAACTCAGATACTGCGGAGATGCAATGACGAGAGATGGCAGTGTCTGTCTTTGGTGGTTTCTCAGATACCTGCTACTGGCACTCCCAGGCACATGGGTCATCCTCCTTCTGTGCCAGAGGAGGAGCAGCTTCCTCCAGGTTGCCTGCTGTCACTTTGCTGCCTTAGCTCCTGTTTGTTACTGTGTCACACAGAAGTGCACAGATGCAGCAACAACCCCTGCCCCGTCTCTTGCTCTCCCCTGGGCCTGTCTTAGCACTTCCACCCAGTATCTCTTTCCCAAAGAAGTAGTTTGAGTTGAGTCCTCACCACCCATCTCCAAATCCCAAAGCCATTTCCTCCTTAGGGGCCTGCTCCAATACCCTCTGAGATCAATGAAAAGACACCTACTGTTTTCAGTGGTCTTGGACAAGGGCAGCTCAAGCTGTGCCTGTTTGGGCAATGTGTCCAAAGACTGATGGCCAGCTCTATTTTGCATGAAATGGGATACATCCCAGTCTTCCCTGTTTTTGAATTTGGAGGCATCACTTAGTCATCCCAGTGCCCCATGCGACATTCGGGAATCTCAGGGGACTTCTGCCTGCTGGGTACAAGGTTCTGTGTTTCCCTCCATCCCTGGGGCAATGCCACCTCTGATTCTTTCAGAAGTAATTCTTCAATGGAGCAGCCAATGTTACCCCAGTTCAGGGGACTGTGATTTCTCCACTACTTTTTCATGCTAGTTTAAACAGTTAATCTGTCCAGAGCCTTATTCTGGATTGCCCACAAAAGTTATTGCACTTCATACTAGGACAGTCTGTGGCTGCCTGGAAAGTGTCCAGAGAAACCCTTGCCCTCAATGACAGCAGGCTCTCTGGGGAGACAAGAATCATTCCCTTCTAATATGTTAATGTAGCTATGCCACAAGAAGCTGCTCTCTTCTCATGGTTGGTAACTCTGCCTCCTTTTCTCTCCATGGGAAGCCGATGAGCACTGCATCCAGGGTGAGTTCCCTCTGCGGGAAGGGTACGTTCGCTACGGCTCAGTAGTTCAGCTCATCTGCACAGCTACCGGCGTCATGCTGCCTCCCCTGGTAAGGCTCGGAAGAGATTCAGACTCAAGAAGCAGCAGCCCACGCTCAAAGCTTTGGCTGCGTGGGTCTGAGCAAACACATGATACTACTCACCATTGGCTTCAGTTCCCAGACAGGACAAGCAAGCTGCTCCTTAACTCAAGCAGGCATGGGCTGTGACAAACTCCTCCCCTGGACAGCTGGTTTGCCCTGTGCTTGCTGTAGCACTCACCTCCTTGTTCTGAAGCTCGCCCTCAGGTGTCCACGGCCAGCAAGGAGAGGGGATGAGGGGTGGGCAGGTATTCAGCATTTAACCTTGCCATTGCATTGCCCAGTTGTGGTTGACTAGTCACTTCATCTACATACTTACCTGGCAAGGGAAACACCATGTATCTGGGTCCATGAAGGCAGTTTTCGTTAAACCCTCTCTGGGATAACTGTTCTTCTGGCATGGTTTAGTACCCACTGAGGTGCTGGGGCTTAAAATCCATTTTATGGAAATGGGAGGCTCCTCCCTAACTTGCTCCTGCAGCCATATAGCTGAGGGCAGGTGAAGCTTGGGGGCATCTGAGCCCCAAGCCTCTGAGCGTGGGCCTGCACATTGGATGCCTGCCAAGGGACTTTGGAAATATCTGAGGCCCCTGGTGGGGGTGGAGGATGTTTGCCGGTTGTAGGGCCACTTGTGGTACTAGTCTGACTCATGGATTTGGACTTAATTTGGCTGATTTGGCTTGGAACATGAAAAATTTCTTTAAAAAAAACCCAAAAACAAACTCCCCCCCGCCCCCATCATCTACATGGGCAGGCATGGCAGATGTGCGGGTTGCAGTCATGGACTCAGGGTGTTCCTTGTGGCTCTGTGACATATGTCCCGGGGGAGCTGGTAGTATAGTCACTTACCCTCTATGCAGGGAAGCATAGACTTTGGTTTCTTTTCCCAGGCAAGGATCTGTGGGATATCCCTTTGGTTTCTGCTTCTACCTTTGGTTCAATGCCCCCACTTTGCCCAGCCAGGGATCCACAGTAGTAGCATATAATGGAACAGGTTGCAGCTGCCCTCACCTGCAGCAATGAAGTGTGGTCTGTGCAGAGCACAAGTCCAAGCATGCACTTTGGGCTGGTCACTTGGAGCACAGTGCAGACTGTCTGGGAACAGTAGCAAAGGGAGGGCTATGGCAATGGCAGGTACTGCCTTGGCGCCATGTCCATCCCAGAGAATGAAAGGAGGGGGCTGGGAGGTCATACCACCAGCCTCACATTGCTTTCTTTGTTGAGTTCACACAAAAGGTTAAACGTGTTTACTGAGCAGCTCCCTGCTGCTGTCAGTCAACCAATCTGGGCCTGCTCCCCGCAGATCATTCGGAAAGTCACCAAGCAGTATGCCCTGCTGGATGTGGATGAGCCCATCTCCCAGCTCCACAAGTGCGCGTTCCAGTTCCAGGGCAGTGATGGGATGTACTTGTGCCTCTCGACGGAGAAAGTGATCCAGTTCCAGGTAGTGCCGTGTAGGCAGCCCGTGAGGAACTGTCCTGGTTCTAAGGTGACCAAGCACCCTCAGGTCCAGCTCCTCTCTCTCTTGTTACTTGCTGCTGACTTCATCACTTGGGGGCCTTAAAATGAACAGAAACCCCCTCAACTCCCAAATTATATTAATCAATTTAGGCAACATGGGAGCCATTGTGTGGTGATGTCCATCAAGCCTCCCTGCCCGTGGTGGGCTTGCCCAAACTTTACCTGTCACCCCATATCCACACAGCTTCCCCCTCACTCCATCCACATCATGGGACTAAGCTCCTGGGTGATCCTCTCAAAGGCAGGGCAGATAGCATCTGCAGTTCACCTCCAACTACATGCAAAGAGTGAGCGTTATCATCTCCATTTCCTGATGGAGCAAGTGAACCACAGGGAAGTGGTGTGACTTCCCAAAGGGGCACAGTCCTGGTCCCCAGCCCCCTATCCTCACTGCCTCAACATGCATGGTGATGGGAGACTCTGTGCAGGCATCTCCATGCCCAAAGGAAGCAAACCGTGAGCTGCTGAATGATGGCTCCTGCTGGACAATCATTGGAACAGAGACTGTGGAATACACCTTCAGCGACAGCCTGGCCTGTATTCAGGACCTTGTGAGCCCTGTCCCACTCATAACCACCCTGCAGGTATGGGGAGGACTTCTGCTCTTAGCCCAGGGCTGTTGTAGTAACCCTGCTTACCACAGCTAGGAATCCAAGCCACCACCTCTGCATGTGCCCCTTATTCTTTGCCTCAGGGCTTGTTGCCCTGTGCTGCCCTCTGGGCACATAAGCTGAGCAGATTTGTCACAGATGATCTGAAGGATCAATATGCTGATCTGTCTCCTCCCACCCAGTAACTGGAGCTATTAACGGCTTAATTTTTTCCCAGTACCGCCCTTCCCACACAAGCTCTGGGAGTATCTTTCTTCAGGGCTCTGCTCTCCTCTCCTGGAGCCACTGCTGTGTTTTGCCTTCAAGGCAGGAACCATCCACTAGGGCTGTGCGAAGCTTTGGGTGGTGATTCGATTTGGAGGAGATTCAGCACGATTTGGTGGCTGAATCTGAATTGAATCAGGGGACCAATTTAAAGGTTCAAATCTATTCAAAGCTCTCTGAATCTTTGACAAAGATTCAGAGAGCTTTGATGATTCGGGCAGTCCCCGGTGGCTGCAGGAGGAAGCACTAGGAAGTACTAGGGGTGGGGGAGGGGACCATGGGGGGACCCCTGCCACACCAGGTGCTGTTGGGCAGGGGGCAATCCCAGCTGCCCCCAGTGCCCCATGCTGCATGGGGGGCTCTGCATGAGCCCCCTCAACACCCCCCCCCAGCTGTCCCATCGGCCAGGGCTCTGGCCCTTTAAGAAAAAAAAAAAGCGGAGAGAAGCCCCTGGACTCCCCGCTCCTGGTGCAGAGCCCCCACCTGATGCGGGGCAGTGGGGCAGCAGGGATCGCCCCTGCCGGCAGGAGCAGTGAGTCCCGGGGTCTCTTCAGGTGTTTTTTCTTAACGAGCTAGAGCTGGCCTGGGCGGGATGCCCGTGAGGGGGTTGGGGGAGCAAGGGAGGGGTTGGGTGGCTCATGCAGAGCCCCCCACGCAGCGTGGGGCAGTGGGGGGCAGTGGAGATCGCCCCCCACCCAGCAGCACCTGCTGAGCCAGGGCTGTTTTTTGCCCCAAGTGCTGGGATCTGGGGTGGGCTTGTCGGGCTAGGAGAGGGGTGGAAGATAGGCCTGGCCTGGCTGATTCAGAGATTCAGCTACTGCCGAATCTCCGAATCAGATTCAGCTGAATCGAATCAGGGCAGTGATTCGAATCACCCCGAATTGAATCATTTTCCCCCAATCGGCTGAATCCGAAGCTTATACTAGCTGCTTCACACAGGCCTACCATCCAGGTGCATATGTGGCCTGAAGGTTAGCTCAAACACCCTGTGCCACGTGTAACCCTTGCTGTGTGCTCTGGTTGTCACAGCTGACTGGTGGAGGGGACGTGGCCATGCTGGAGGTGCAGGGCGAGTATTTCCATGCAAACCTGAAGGTCTGGTTTGGGGATGTGGAAGCTGAGACCATGTACAGGTAATGCAACAAACCACATAGGCAAGATGGCATTGAACATAGGAAGAAAATGGGCAGATGTGTGGGTGAGGTGAAAATGTCCCTGTTCCTAAAGGCTGCATTTGGGATCGTTTTTTTAAGATCCCTCAGCCTTCCAAGGAGCTTTGCTGTGGTTGGGCCTTTCAGCTGAACATTCCTG